ATGGGGAGTCTGAATTGCTTTGGATGTACTGAAGCATGTTTTATGGACTAGTATGTGGTCTGTTTTGGAGGACATCCCATGTGAACCTGAAAATAATGTATATTCTGATGTTGTGGGGTTGAACGCTCTGTAGACATCTACTAAGTACATTTGTTCACATATTTGGTTCACTTCTGATATTTCTTTGTGGATTTTTTTGTGTAGTTCATCTGTCTGTTTGAGACAGTGGAGTATCAAGTTTCCCTGTTATAATTGAGTTCATTTTTATTTGATCATTCATGTCCATGAATAATTGTTTTATATGTTGGGGTTCTCCTATACTTGGTGCATATATATCTGTGATTGTTATCTCTTGCCCTTGGATTATTCCATTTATAAGAATGTAGTGATCTTTATCTCTTCTGATCAGTCTTGGCTTGAAGTTCACATTGTGTGCAAATAGAATATCTACCCCTGCTTTTTCTGTGTTCTTATTGCAGGAAGTATTGTTTTCCATCCTTTGACTTTTTTTCTTTTTTTCTTTTGGTCTTTTTGAGATAGGGTCTCACTATGCAGTTCAGACTAGCCTTGAACTCACTTTTTAGTCCAGGCTGGCCTCAAACTTGCAATAATCCTCCTGACTCAGCCTCCCAAGTGCTGGGGTTACAGGTGTGCATCACCCCACCTGGCTCCCCATCCTTTGACTTTCAGTCTGTGAATTTTTTTGGTATTAAATGTGTTTCTTGAATGCAGCATATTGTTGGATCTTGTTTCTTGATCTATTCTACCACTCTTTCTTTTGATTGATGAATTGAGACTTTACATGGATGATTATAAGAGATACACATTGACTTTGTCATATTATTTTCCTGTTGATTCCCTGTCTTTCCCCTTTATTTGTGTCAATTACCACAATTTTTCCTTATTATTCTCCTCAAAAATTTAGCAAGAACCATCAGGAAAGAGAAAGAAATATAAGTAATATATATATAGAAAAGGAGGAAGTAAAGTCATATTACTTGTAGGTAACATAATTCTCTATATAGAAGACACCCCAAATCCACTGAATATTGTTGAAAATTAATAACTAAAGTAGTGTTGCACGATAAAAAAAATCAAACACAAAATTAATAGAATTCTTGTACACAAGTAATGAACTCACTGAGTCAAATTAGGAAAACTATACTAGCATTAAGAAAAATTAATTTTTTTTCTTTCGGTGCTGGGAATCAAACTCAGGACCTTGTGCTTGCCAGGCAGGTGCTGTACCACTGAGCTATATTCCTGGTCCCCAGAAAAATTAAACTTGGGAATTACACTAAACAAAAAAGAGAAAATCTTTAGAATGAAATCAATGGTACTTTGAAACAGGATATTGAGAATGACATTAGAAAATGGAAATACATTCAGTGATACTGGATTGTTAGAATCAATATTGTCAAAATGGACATGGTTCCTAAATGAATATACAGATTTAACACAATTACAGTCAAAGTACCAAAAAAGCATTCCTCACAGAACTATAAAAAACAATATGGGATCAGAAGAGAAAAACAGAGCGATAGAAAAAGCAATATTGGGTGACAAGCAGTGCAAGAGGCAAGGCTGACTTCAGTTTATGTTATAAGCTACAGTGAGAAAAACAGCATTGTATTGACACAGTAACAGATATGTGGAGCTAATTAGCTATGTCTCTGACAAATGACTAATGTCTAGAAAATACAGAGAGCTCAAAAAAAATTAGACCTCCCCAGATTTAGAGAGCCAATCCAGGAGCTGGGGATTTAGCTCAGCGACACAGCACCTGCCTGGCAAGTACAGGGTTATGAGTTCAATTCCTGGTACCAGAAAAAAAAAAAAAAAAGAAAGAAAAGAAAGAGAGCCAATCCAAAAATTAGACCTCCCCAAATATAGAGAGCCAATCCAATCTAATGAACAAACATTTCTCAGGTGAAAAAGCACATAGAGCAAATAAACATGAAAAAATGTTCAGCATCACTAGCCATTCAAGAAATGCAAATTAAAACAACACTGAGAGCCCATCTCACTCCAGTAGAATGGCTATCATCAAGAAGTCAACCAATAACAAATCCTGCAGTGACTCTGGGAAAAAACAAACACATCCTCATTGTTGATATGAGTGTAAATTGGTGCAACCACTGTAGAAATCAGTATGGAAAATCCTCAATAAACTAAAACTAGAGGTTTGACTTGACTTCACTACTCCGCTTCTACGTATCTTCCTGGACAAATTAAAAGCATCACACCACAATGATATATAAATATATATCCATGATTATAGCAGCACAATTCATACTAGGTAAATCTCAGAAATAGCTCATATGCTTATTGATGGATGAGTGGATAAAGGAAATGTGTTTATGTGCCCTGGAGTACTATTCTTCCATAAAAAAGATAAACATGACATTTTTAGTTAATAGGTGTAACTTGAGACCATAATTTTCAGGTGAGATCGGGTGTGTTCAGGGTGGAATGGCCATAGGCTTGAGAGCAGAATTTTCAGTGAAATAATTTGAATCCATAAATTTAAGTATCATGTTGTTTCTCTTGTATGTGAAAACTGAATTGTAAAGAAAGAGCAAATGGAGGATAGATATTTGGAAGTAGGGGGAATATGTTCAAATGGGAATGGGAATAAGAGGAGGATGGGGAAGAAGGGAAAAAATATGAAAAAGGAAATTAAAAAAGGAAACAGATTTTGTGAACTGGGAGGATGAAGGGTTGAAGGGGAGGAGGAGGGAAATGGGGAAAATGAAGAATTAAGATATATTATGTACAGGTGCAAACTGCCTGTGAAGAGTATAATCACTATGTATGGCAAACGTGTAGCAAAAAGTGAGAGACAGGAGATTATAGCCTTGAGGGTATCCATTTACCTAAAAGTGTCTTAAGTTAATCCTTCTTCATGGCAGAATAATACTCCATTTTATATAAATGTCATTTCTTTATGCATTCATCTGTTGCTGGGGATGGAGGCTATTTCCAAGATTTAGCTACTATAAATTGTGCTGCTATAACATGTATGCCCATGTCATGGTGGTATATTAACTTTAACGTTTTCACAAAGATACATAGAGGTTATGTTACCTATGTAACCTATGTTGTTATGTTACTTACCATGGTGCTATCTCTTGTCATCTGTGATCTTGTCATCTGTGAACTTGCAATTATCAGAAATATTGTAGAATACTTGGACTCTAGAAATCTGGGCTGATTTTTCTTTATTTTCTTCTTCTTCTTTTTTTTTTTGGTACCAGAAATCGAACTCAGGATTGTGTGCTTGCTAGGCAGGTGCTTGTGCCACTGAGCTATGTCCCCAGCCCTCTTCTAATTATTTTAGCTATGTAATGATGACGTTCTGGGTAGTTGGCCTATGGTTAAACTACCTGTTTGGTGTTTGTTTTCTGACTGTCAGAAGAAACTATAATGTAAGGCAAAAGACAGGAATCTAGGAGTCTGGGGAATTTGGAAAGGGTTTTGGATGAATTTGATTGAGGAAAGTAAAGAGCAAGTTTAAAAGAAGGCTGTGCAGAAGTAAAAGCACTAAGGGCTACTGTGGGCTACTGTGGAAGGTGTTGAGGCTGCTATAGTGGTGTTAGATGAAAATAGTCTATTGCTTAAACATGAGATAAAAGGGTTCAGAGTTGATGTTACACCCATTCTAGGCTCGCTTATCCATAGCTTTTATAAGAGCTCAGAACACTTCCTGCTTCCAGGGACTCTCCTTTTGAGATGCTGTATGGGAGTCCCTTCTTGAGAAAAGACATCCTGCTTGCCGGGCAGGTGCTGTGCTGCTGAGCTAAATCCCCAGCCACTACAGAGAGTATCTTAGTGCAAGTGTGTTCACTAGCCCAGTTCCAAAAACTCCCATCAGCACTGAGAAGGATGGATCCTGGATTGATTCGGTTGAGTGATCCCCTCTGGCCCAGGGATATTGGTGCTGATAGAGATTTTAGATACCCTAGACTTGGGTAAGACCAGGTAAGAGGCCCCACACACTGTTGTCCTGTTTACCTTGACAGCAGTTAATGTGTCAAGACAAAGGTGCTTGGATCCAATATTCTTGGTTGAAGCTCTGGACAGCACAGGGAAATACTTCCTGTGACACAATCCTTGAGACAACTTCTGCTGGACAGGAATCCATGAACACTTGTGAGCCTGTGGAAGATCTCAAGCTCATCTTTAAGAAGAAAAAGACACTTCCAATTGTAGTCCTGTGCTCTGACAGGGACCATTCCCATAATTTTATTGTTATTACAATTTACCGGTCACTTGCCTAAGGGGTGGAATAACTTCTCACCAAAAATGATCGCCTGAAATTTGGAAAAAGGCCACTGCCTGCTCATAGGTGTGCTTTTTCATCCTTTTTTTTTTTCTTTCCTTCTTTTTTTCTTTATTTCTTTCTTTTTTTTTTTTTGAGATAGTGTTTCGCTATGCAGTTCAGGCTGGCATTGAGCTTACTTATGTAGCCTAGGCTGGTCTCGAACTCTCAACCATCCTCCTGCCTCAGCCTCCTGAGTCTGTGATCACAGATTGACCCTCTTGTTTCTACCCATCATGACAGTACAAAAAAAGAATATTCACTAACCAAGAGGTTGGTGTAACTACTCACTCATTCAGGCAGCAGGAGCCAAGACCACATGATACCTCAAACATTGGCTGTATTTCTTTTCTTTCCTTTATTTTTTATTTTTATTTTTATTTATTTATTTATTTATTTTTTGAGACAGGGTCTCGCTATGCAATTCAGGCTGGCCTTGAACTTACTTTGTAGCCCAGGCTGGTCTCGAACTTGCAATGATCTTCCTGCCTCAGCCTCCCGAATGCTGGGATTACAGGCGTGCGCCACCACGCCCGGCTGTTGACTGTTTCACAAGCCCTCAGTTGACCACAAGGTTAGGTGAAAATCCAACCTGTACATTTTTTTTTCCAGAAAAACTTAACTATGAGAAGTGACCCCTTGAGTCCCCAAATTTCAAGTGTTTCTCATCTCTTGATAGGAACACAGCAAAGAATATTGATGTTTCACCAGATGTGGAAAGAAGACTGAATTTTGCTGGATTTCAAGATCTAGGATGAACAGAGCCACTAGAAAATGTTACCATCTCTAGTTGAGCTCCACTCAGACCGGTGGGATTGGCCGGTGTTGTCAGTCTCAGTTCAGAGGGTGGGACGTGGAGCCAGAGCAAATCAGTGTTGAGGGGGCGGGCTCTGTAAGCTGTCCAATCAGGTTGGCCGAGTAGGGCGTGCTTGCGCCAAAGTCCGGATATCCGAATGCGTTGTTGAGAGCCAACTGACCTGGCTAGACTGCTTTGCCCCCGGACTTCTACTTGCTGCAGGCTGCCTAAGAAGGACCTTGGGAGACACTGAAGCCACACAATGGTGAGCTTGTGGGATGGGTACCCTGAGATGGATCTGGATGGGTTGGGGCTGAGATCCGTATGGAAGAGGTAGGCATAGCATGGCGGACTGCAGGCTCTGCATGCTCCCTAGTCTGAGTTCCTCCTGCTCTTTTGCACTGTGCACCGTGTCTCACTTGCCCTGTCTGTGGCTGGACTTTTTTGTCCACACAACACCTTGTCTCGGCACAGCCACCCTACCAGCCGAGTGCAGTCTCAGGCGGGCCCAGCCCTCATCCGTGTCACCCCTGTATGTGAAGAGTGGGAGTTGGGAGACCCTGTTCCAGGAAGGAACCCGCTGGGGAACTGTGGTGTGCTGCTTCCTCGCTCTCATTCCTCCCACCAGCAGACTGGGTGGACATCAGTTTTGTACATGTTTGTGATACAAGGCCTCAAACACACAACTTAGCTCCTCAGAACAACGCTCCTTTGTGATGACAGCGGATTCCTAAATTTCCAGTATTTCCGCACGTTGCCTCATCTTGATGATTATAATGTTCCAAGCAGTCAAAGAAAGTTTTAATATTGCTGGCGATGTGACTTGGTGGTGGGGCCCTTGCAAAGCATGCAGTGAACTCCCGTGTCTCATACACAGAAATGTTTAAAAAAATTATTTTAATTTATTAGGTGGCATATCTATTAACAAAGAGACCGTTTAATGAGGCCTTTCCATAGAGTATAGGGTGCTGAGAAAAATAGAGCAGATTTTAATGTTTTATCAAGGGAAGGAGCAAGTGTCCCTGCTAGGGAGTATCCGAAGGAGCTATCTTTTTTGTTTGTTTGTTTGTTTGTTTTTGCTGCTCTATTTGCTTTTTGCTATGTAGCATGGGCAGATGTTGAATTCCCAGCAATTCTCCTGCCTCAGCCTCTCACTTGCTTAGATTTTTTGGTATTTTTACATATTTATTTTGGGACACTTTATTTGTTTATGTTTTTAGACAGGGTCCCCTTTTTAGTTCGGGTTGGCCTTGAACTCAGTGTAGCCCAGGCAGGCCTCAAATTCACAGCGATCCTCCTACCTCAGCCTTGGGAATGCTGGAAATAGAGTCCTGCCCACCACACCTGGTTTGTTTTTGTCTTTTTGAGACCAGATTCACTGCACATTTCAGGCTGGGCTTGATCTTGAGGTGATCCCTCTTCCTCAGCCTCCTAAATGCTAGGATTGCAAGCCTCCTGCCTGTGAAAATACACTTTTTTAGTTTTTTCTTATCATTTTTTTGTTTTATGAAATAATAAAGCAAAATGTCATAGAAAAATAAGAAAATAATATTAATGAATGCCCCATGTGTCTTTATCTACATTACTCAGACAGGCATGTACTACCACATCTGGCTCAAAGTGCTGAGATTATAGCATTGGTCACCCGGTCTGGCAGGCCTGTGTTAAACACACAGTGCGAAACTCTGAGATCAAGCATCTCTATGGACATGTGTCTTGGTAGGAGTGGAAAGGGACAGGGGTGTCATTCCATATAATTACACTGCAGACTTGCGCTTTTGTTTTGTCTGTTTGAGACAGGATCTTGTTGTGCAGTTCAGGGTGGCCTTCAACTCACTTTGTAGCCCAGGCTGGTCTCGAACTCTCAAGGTTCCTCCTGCCTCAACCAGCCTCCCGAGTGCTGGGATTACAGGCGTGGGTCACCAGGCCCAGCCCAGATTTGTTTTAAGAAACAAAATGCTAGCGGGGCGTGGTAGCTCATGCCTGTAATCCCAGCATTCAGGAGGCTGAGGCAGAGTGAGCGTTATGAGTTTAAGGCCAGCCTGGGCTACAAAGTGAGTTCGAGACCAGCCTGAACTGCATAGTGAGACTGTCTTAAAAAAACAAACAAACAAACAAACAAACAAAAAAAAAAAAAAAAAACCACAAAAAACCAACCAAACAAAAAAGAAATAAAACGCTGGTTGAGGTGGACATTTATAAAGGAATACCAGTAGGAGTGAAGCCCTAAATGCAAGATCTGTAGACATAGAAGCGGTTAAGGGATAAAAAGAAAGGAGAGGTGATGGTGAAGGCAAAATTAGAATAAACAATAGAGAAAGTCTTCTTCTGAGGTCGATTGTTCTTCGTGTGACAATAAAGAAAATATATGTAATGCTTATTCTGAGAGTGTGGTAAAGATCAAATGCTTTAAGGAAGAAGAATTTAGTAAAAACTAGATAACTGTCTTTTTTTTTTTTTTTTTTTTTTTTTTTTCCTGGTACCGGAGATCGAACTCACGACTTTGCGCTTGCTGGCCAGGCGCTGTGCCACTGAGCTAAACCTCCAGCTACTGATGACTGTGTCTTCTGTTACTAGTAATCATTTAACCCAATTATTTTTTGTTCATTTTGAGACATGGTCTCACTGTGTGGTTTAGGCTGGGCTTGCACTCCTTAGGTAGCCCCATCTGGCCTCAGATTTAATCTCAATTCTCCTGCCTCAGCCTCCCAAATGCCGAGATTAGAAGTGTGGGCAAACATACTGGGCCCTAATCATTTTTGAGGAAAATTTGAAAAATAGGAATTTGTTTGACCTTGTCTGCCTTAAAAATGAAAAGATGTCATTTAAGTGTGATGGGAAGATGTCATTTAAGTGTGATTTTTGCAGGATACAAAAATTGCAGTGTGTAGTTGATGTGTGTATATTGTACAGAAGATTGAACACAGTAAATAAGCCCCCAGACTCTATTTGGAGAAAAAAAAAGCATGTGAGACAGGACGCAAGAGGGCTCAACAAAGCAGTTTAAAGTTTAAAGTTTACTTCTGCGTAAGGATGCAAGCCTAAGGTGGTAGGCACACAGGACAGAAGAGGGCCGCCTCTTTTATCCCTAATGCAGGAGATGCAGCTGAACTTTAAATTCATTGGCTGAATTCAAAGGCTTGCAATAATTGTGGTTGACTCCTGGAGGGAGGTTAGTGTGTTGCTGAGTTTATGAGAGGGGTTGTGCAGTCTGGAATGCAAAGTCTTGAGGAAGAGGGTGGTTGGAGAGAGAGGGAATGTGATGTTTGGATGAAAAAGTTCTCGGTTCTTCATCCTGGGATCCGGCTGTGTTTTGGGAAAAGATATGTAGTCACCTCGTTTATTGGAGCTCAGGATATTAAAGTGAGGGAGATGGATAATGAGTAGATGACCAGGTTATTTAAACACAAAATGGAGTTGCATTGTCCTTGCTTTTTGATAGAAAAGACAAAACCCATTTCTCACACTCTGAAATATATTCCCCATACTTTTTAATATATATTTTTAATTTTGAGACTGTCTCACTAAATTGCTCTGACTGCAGTGAAACTGTTTTTTATTTTTATTTTTTTTAAACATTGGATCTCTGTGTCTTTTAGGCTGGCCTTGAAGTGACTATGTAGCACAGGTGGGCCTCAAATTCTTGGAGATCATCCTGCCTCAGCCTCTGGAATTCTTGGATTAAAGGCATGGGCTACCAAGGCCACTTAACAATGAACTACTAATCTTTTCTCAGCCTCCTGAGATGACAGGCATGTTTCACTATGCCTGGCTAAAATGAGGTTCTTTAATCAACACTGTTAACCAGGATTACAGTGTTCCACTGAATAAAACTTCAGTGAGCCATGGTAGTGCCTACCTTTTATCTTGCTACCCATTTGGGATGCTGAGGCAGGAGGATTGCAATACCAAGGCCAGCCTGTACAGTCGAGCAAGATCCCATACAAGATACACTGAAAGTACTGGGGCTGTGTCTCCAATCTAAATTAATTTGTGTAACATAAATAAGGCTCTGAATTTAGTACTGAAGCATTAAAAAATGTGATAACAGCTCAGTAGAAAATCTAGTTTAATTTTTGAACTTAAGATGCTGGGCAGCAGAGGTGAGTCACTGCTCTGTCAGCAACAGGACACCGTATGAAAATAGCCAGAGACTTCAAGTGCACCATGTTCAATACAGTACACAAGATATTTAGTATTTTATTTTATTTTATTTTTCCGGTACCAGAAATCGAACTCACGACCTTGTGCTTCCCAGGCAGGCACTGTGCCACTGAACTAAATCCCCAGCCCTGATATTTAGTATTGTATCATGAAGTAGGCTGTGTGTTATGTAAATTTTCTCAACTGCTGTGAATATAAGTGTATTGAGCGTTTTTTAAAAAATTATTTTAGAGAGAAAAAAGACTTTCAAAACAAGATAAAGCAGAATAACAACAACTAATACATTGCACATTGTTATCTTCCTAGTAGTTACTCAGAGTACAAGACAGGTGTGAAATATTGTCCAAACAATATTAGCACAAATGTTTCTTTTCAATGAACTAGGATAGACTAGCTGTATAATTATCTTGTGTATGTGTATATACACATACTTTTTTCCTTTTCCCTTTCTTCCTTTCTCCCATCATAATTTCTCTTTTCTTTCCTTTCTTTTTTTTTTTTTTTGGTACTGGGAATTGAACTCAGGACCTTGCACTTGCCAGGCAGGTGCTTGTACCGCTGAGCTATATCCCCGGCCCATATCTTCTCTTTTCTATTGAACAGTTTCTTCCTAACTCACAATATTGTACATTTTGGATCTTAATTACTCTTTCAGTTTCTCACACTAGTGAGACAATACAATGTTTACACATGTGGGTTGATTTATTTTACTTATGAGTATAGTCTCGAATTGGGTCCATTTACCTATAAAAGTCTCCAGTTTATCCTTTTGTATGGCTGAGTAGTACTCCATTATATAAAAAAAGCACATCCTTTGTATCTATTCCTTGGTAGATAGGCATTTGGGTTGTTTCTAAGATTTAGCTCTTACAATTGTGCTACTAATCCTGAACAAGGATGCATATATATTGCTGTGGTATGGTGTTCTAATTCTTCCTAGAAGGTATCTAGAAGGGTAGTAGTTGGGTTGAATGATATCTCTAATCCTAGTTTGCCACATTGGTTGCACCAGTCTACACTCCCACCAACAGTGAAAAGGGTTCCTTTTTCCCCACAGCCCTGCCAACATTTGTTATTGGTTGGGTTTTTGTTGTTGTTGTT